CTGCATTGCCTGCTATAATATGGTAACTCTCTCTGTATATAATATAATATATGAGCTCATTTCTTTTTTCGCTTTATATATATCAAGGCGCAGATAAAGTGAAGGCAGTTTATGGGCCAAAACATCACCTGACCGAGGATGGAGACGGAGCAAAGTCACATGACTGACAGGATATTACACCTCAGCCTGGAGATCATCTACCTGCTGACCGGAGAGGTGAGGAGGATTCTGGGAGGTCACATGACATCACTCTTACCTCTATTAATAAAACACAGACCTGACTGGAGAGGTGAGGAGGATTCTGGGAGGTCACATGACATAACTCTTACCTCTATTAATAAAATATAGACCTGACCGGAGTGGTGAAGATACTTTGTCATGATACTAAGTAAATCCGCTGAGGTGACATAACTTGTTATTTATGCTATATATATATATAGAATTATATCGCTTTCAAGTTATCTGATGGCTTGGTTGCTTCCAACTTGAAGAAGACTCAAAGCTCCAATAATGCACCGCCAACTGACTTGCTGAGGCAGAAAAACAAGAAGGGACAAGAAGTCACCAGTGAGATCATTGACCTGCTGACTGGAGAGGTGAGGAGGATTCTGGGAGTGTCACATGATGTCACGCCTATCTATTACTAAAATGCAGACCCGCCTGGGAGGCCAATTGTGAAAGTTGTTTGTATATCGGAATAATTTAATGTTTTTGCTTTGAATGTAGAATTACATAGCATTCAAGTTATCTGATGGCTTGCTTGCTTCCAACTTTATGAAGACCCAAAACCCCGTTATAGATCCTCCATCTCACTCCCTGAGAAAGAACAAGAAGGTGGAAGAAGTCACCAGCGAGATGATTGAGCTTCTCACTGGAGAGGTGAGCTGTGCCGGGAATTCTGGGACATGATCCAGGAACAGACAAGGGATGTGTCTGGGTGGTGACTGTATCATTGTGTGTGTCAGGTTCCTATAAGGTGTCAGGATGTCACAGGTTGTATCTCCATGGAGGAGTGGGAGTATCTAGAAGGACACAAGGAGCTCTACAAGGACGTCATGATGGAGAACCGGCCGCCCCTCACATCACCGGGTAAGAGGAGACTTTCATTTCCTGAGTATTGAGGATCCCCCTAGATACACACATCCTCTGATATAAAGACATAGAAACAATGTATTCAGTCAGTGTGTGTGTTTCCTACAGATGGATCCAGGAACAGAAATACCCCAGAGAGATGTCCCCGTCCTCTGTATTCCCGGGATTCCACACAGGAACATCAGGAGATCCCTCAGACCCGTCCTGTGTATTCCCGGGACTCCACACAGGAACATCAGGAGATCCCTCAGGCCCGTCCTCTGTATTCCCGGGATTCCACACAGGAGCATCAGGAGATCCCTCAGACCCATCCTCTGTATTCCCGGGACTCCACACAGGGACATCAGAAGATCCCTCAGGCCCATCCTCTGTATTCCCGGGACTCCACACAGGAACATCAGGAGATCCCTCAGGCCCATCCTCTGTATTCCCGGGATTCCACACAGGAACGATCCCTCAGACCCGTCCTCTGTATTCCCGGGACTCCACACAGGAACATCAGGAGATCCCTCAGGCCCGTCCTCTGTATTCCCGGGATTCCACACAGGAACATCAGGAGATCCCTCAGACCCGTCCTCTGTATTCCCGGGACTCCACACAGGAACATCAGGAGATCCCTCAGGCCCGTCCTCTGTATTCCCGGGATTCCACACAGGGACATCAGGAGATCCCTCAGGAGGATCAGGTATATGGGTTCCAAAATGTTTTTTGTTACTTTGTACATATAGTAATGAGTCTCTTTAAATTTGAGCTTATTACAGAAGCAATATGACATTATTTAAAGGAATATTTTTTTTCTTGTGTAGGGTACACTAGAAGTAAACCAGACTGATTGTAGGATAGAAGCAGAAGACCAGTATGTGATGAGTGATGAGTCATGGGAGAAGGAGGAGATCCCTCCAGAGATCAGCACAGGTGAGTAATAAACACTGAATCCATAGAAGAGTCCAAGATTCTCCTTGTTCAGTCACTACATCAATCTCTTCTTCTCCCCCCTCCTCTGTCAGTAGACAGTAATGGGGGGACGGAATGTGTCTAGTGGGGGGAGTCAGGAGCCATCAGCCTCTATTAGACTCCGGCTCTCCTCCTCACATCATGTCATTGTGTGTTACCAGCCAAGAGACGTGACCAGTCTCCCCCCCACACACACTCTCTGGGGTCTCTCATACATCTCAGTAGAGGGGGCTTCACTCTCATCTTTATTCACAGAACCCGAAGACATTCAGAGAGATATCAAGGTTGAGGAGGAGGAGGTAATAAGTGTGAAGATTGAAGATGAGGAAACTCCTATACAAATCAGTACGGGTGAGTAATAAACATTGAACAAAGCATAACACATTTGTCTTGTCCTTACTCTACCAGTGTGTCATTCTGCCCAATGCTCTGCCACTAATAAAGTCTACTACCTGGGCCTCCACCCTGGTGGGTTATCCATTGGCCACGGCTGTTTTATGAAACCTCTCACCTCGTTGATGTCTTGTTGACGCTCCTAGGTAGTCAGTAAAGTTTAGAACACATCACAAAACGTTAAGGGTTTAACCATGCTCAAGCTTTTTCATTCAGAAAATAGGTGTACACCAGTCTAGGACTTGTCCCACAACCCCTAACCAGTGTTCGGTTAGGATGGAGAGTGTTAGAGATCATCTAACCCATATGTTTGGTTCTAGTTACCTATAATGTAAGTGATCAGTTCTGGTTTCTTGCTCCCAGCTGCAAAAGCAAAATGAGAGGGAGTTTGAGGACTCTTTGGGGTCTCACAGCCCCTGGTCTTCCTCTGTAGCACACAGAAGGGGAATCAGATGTCTATTTAGCCCTTTGATGTCACCATAAAATGGATATGACTCCAGATCAGGGGTAGCAAACCTCCGGCCCTCCAGCTGTGGGTGAAACTACAAATCCCATGATGCATCTCTCTTCGGGAGTCATATCTGTGGCTGGGAGAATCTTGCAATGCCTCATGGGATTTGTAGTTCCACCACAGCTGGAGGGCCGGAGGTTTGCTACCCCTGCTCCAGATGTTGGGTAGGGGATAGACAAGCCGGCTGCTGAATAGGGAAATTAAGTTCATCGCCTCAGGAGCTAAGAGATAATTTGATGGTAGCCTAATCACTGCAAGACCCTCCCCCAAGTACCCAAAGGCTCTTCTTAAAATCCTCTTATCTCTTTATTCCGTTCTGTTATGAATAACAATATATGATGTCATGTGACATTGACCACCAAGTGACTAGACAATGCTCATCCGTAGCACACAGAAGTGAAATCAGATGCCACCATACAATGGACATGGCTCCAACTGCTGGGTAGGGGAGAGACAAGCATGCTGCTGAACAGGGAAATAAAGTTTATCGCCTCAGGAGCTAAGAGATCATTTGATGGTCGCCTAATGACTGCAAGACCCTCCCCCAAGGAACCAAAGGCAAGGAATCTTCATCTCTTTATTCACTTTTTCACGTTCAATAATGACAGTAAGCCCTCGTTCACACCTGAACGTTTTGTAGCGCGTTCTACGCTCGACGAACGCTCTACAAAACGCTCAAAAATATAAATCCCATTGTAGTCAATGGTCTCGTTCCCACCTTGGCGTATCCCCACCTTGGCGTATTTCCGCCCGTCCCTAACACGCTACAAAACGGCCCACGCCTGAAAAGGTACAGGTACTACTTTGGGCCGTTTTGTTGCGCGTTTTCACTGGGATACAGCCAAGTAGCCTTCGGAAACGCGGAACTTTTTTTACCGCGAATCGCGGTAAAAAAACGCGCGACGGACGCGCATATGCAATACGCCTAGGTGTGAAGGAGACCTGAGTGATGTGAGATTGACCACCAAGCGAATAGAGAATGCTCATTTACACTGAAGAGCATGGTCTGGTGTAGGGATATTGGATGTGAAATCATCTGTGATGGACAATAGGAGTCCCACCATAATACCGCTTTTAAAAATACACAAGCCTAAAAAGTTCCCGAGACGTTTAGGTTTTTGTCCCTAACTAGTAGGGATGCACCGATACCGCTTTTTCGTTATCGAGAGCGAGTACTGCTATTTTTTTTTCCGGTACTCACTTACCGATACTGGTGCCATATGCCCCGATTATCAGGAAGTCGGGCGGCGGATCATGACCCGTCCCCGGCTTCCTGATTGCCTGGGATGCCGGTGTTCTATCGAAAGAACGCCAGCTTCACTTGCCAAGGCTGCCTGGCTTCCTGACCAATCAGGAAGCCGGGCCATGAACCTCCTCCCGACTTCCTGGTTGGCTAGGAAGCCAGCTTCACTTGTTGCCAGGCAGCGTGGCTTCTTGACCAATTAGGAAGTCGTGAGGCGAGTCATGACGTGCCGCAGGGGTTTCCTGATTGGTTAGGAAGCCAGGCTGCCTAGCAACAAGTGAAGCTGGCTTCCTTGCCAATTAGGAAGGCGGGCGGCACCTTGAGACCCACCTGGCTTCCTGATTGGCTAGGAAGTCGGCTTCAATTTCTCCTAGGCAGCCTGGCTTAATGACCAATCAGGAAGCTAGGAGGTGGGTCATTGTGTGCCACCCGGCTTCCTGATTGGTTCAAAAACCAGGCTGCCTGGCTAGGAAGCCGGCTTCACTTGTTGCTAGTCAGAAAGCTGGAAGGCAGTTCATAACCCACTGGCCGGCTTCCTGATTGGAAAGGAAGCCGGCTCCGTGCTCCCTCGGCACTGCCAAGTTCTGGTATCAGAGCATTTGGCCGAGTACCAGTATTCACCCAAATACTCGGTATCGGCACCGATACTAGGATCGATATCGGCGTATCCCTACTAAATATTACTGAAAACACTTTATATAGCTGTGTATGTTATAACTGCTCCTATCTCCCTCCTCAGATCCGTCATTTGATCCCTCTACACATGATGGGAGTTTTCCCGATCATTCCCTTCTCATCACCCATAATGCAGCTCATAAAGTGAGTGAAAAGTTCCCGTGTACCATATGTGGGAAATGTTTTACCCGGAAAGCCACGCTTATTGATCATCAGAGGACTCACACCGGGGAGAAGCCGTATTCATGCTCGGATTGCGGGAAATGTTTTTCCAAGAAAACCAAAGTGATTTTACATCAGAGGACTCACACGGGGGAGAAGCCCTATTCGTGTTCCGAGTGCGGAAGAAGCTTTTCCCGTAACTCGGCTCTTGCGAAACACAAAATAATTCACACTGGGGAGAAGTCCTATTCCTGTCCCATATGTGGGAAATGCTTTTCCCGTAACTCAGCTCTTGCTGACCACAACAGAATTCACACCGGGGAGAAGCCGTATGCGTGTTCGGAATGCGGGAAATGTTTCACCCGGAAAGACAATCTTACTATACACAAAAGGATTCACACGGGGGCGAAGCCATATTCGTGTTTGGAATGCGGCAAGTGTTTTTCTTTTAATTCCACCCTTAGTAGACACAAGATAGTCCACACGGGGGAGAAGTCGTATTCATGTTCCATCTGCGGGAAATGCTTCTCCTTTAGCTCGGCTCTTACCAACCACAAGAAGACGCACACGGGGGAGAGGCCGTTCTCGTGCTTGGAATGTGGGAAATGCTTCAGCCGCAAAGCCCAGCTTATTATACATGAGAGAACTCACACCGGGGTGAAGCCGTATTCGTGTTTGGAGTGTGGGAAGTGTTTCTCCCAGAGGACTAATCTTACTGAGCATCAGAGAATTCATACGGGAGAGAAGCCATATTCATGTTCGGAATGTGGGAAATGTTTCTCCCAGAGAACCAACCGCATTGTACACCAGAGGACTCACTGTGTAGAGGAGCCATGTCCATAATATGAAAGCAGGGGTGAGCTCACGTTCAGTCCGAACCTGGAATAGAGATGAGTCCACTTGCCCAATCAGCTGCGGGCCGGGGCATTTCCTACCCCAATGCTTGTGATGACATCATTGACCTTAAAAGCCACACGGGCCTATTAGGTCAATGCCACTGACCAAATATAGCCATGTGGCCGTATAAGGTCAGTGACATCACAACATCCCACCCCTTTGCTGTTTTGTATCTATTGGTGGCAGCAGAAGGAGGTTCCTTCGTGTTCGGAGGAGTTGCGGTTCGGACTGGGTTGGGTCGGAACCCTATACAGGAGATGCTTTACTCAAAGACCTAAACTACTCCCAAGTTGAGTCATTTACACAGACGTATTCATGTCCCATGTGCTGGAGAAGTCTTAGAGGTAACTGAAGCCTACTCAAGCATTAAACGGCATGCGTGATCTGAACGAGGACAACGTCACGGAGACTTGGGATGCGGCAAACTACACGCCACCCCCCCGGGTGTCTTTTTTATTGTGTCCATTCTATAGCTTTATCTTTCTTAACTAAACAAGCACTTTGTATCTTTGTTGCCTGCTTGCCCATATACGTATTACCCCTTGGACCTTGTCACTTCTGTTGTGTGGCACGGTAGTCAGTCAAATGCAGATTTTGCGTCTTTGTTCGCGTTTTAATGTTCCTTTTCGTAAGAAAAAAGCTGCAGAAGAATATTTACTGACCGTGGAATAAAAATAAAATATCCGTATGTTGTTACAGTTGTGCTCTGCGTGTCCTTTGTCCTACAAGTGTAGCTGGCCGGAGACGAGAAGGGGCCGTTGGATGTGCAGGTACAAAGTGCCCATTGGCAAGAGAAGCCCTTGTAGGCACCTGTGGACGTGGGATCACCTCTCTTGGACAAGATTCCTCTATTTCCCATGAGAACGGACCACCAGCGGTGTCTGCAGGGCGCCCGTCACAGATCAGCCACAGAGCTGGTCTGTTACTTGTGGTTCCACAGCGTGGTGGATTGTTCTTACCTCCTTGCTTTTGTGGTTCTATAAGCATGTCCTCTGCTCTTTGCTGCTGTGGTTCTGATGGTAGCTGAGGTTCTATAAGCATCTGCTCTGCTCTTTGCTGCACACAGCTAGCAGCTATGGGCTTTGCCGGCTCACCTGATGGTTTATATACCTTGCCTGTTGGCTACTTCCTGTTCAGCCCCCTATCGCTCTCCTAATTTAACTCCTGCTTAGACCAGCTCTCTTTGCCTGAGCAAGCAACGTCCCCATTGCCTCCGAGCTCCCGTCTGCATCTTTGCCCGTTTCTGCTGTTTCCTTGGATTGATCTTCTGTGTAACGCTCCCGGCTTTGTCTCTGCCCTGACCTTCTGCCTGGCTCCTGGATCTTCTGTTGGTCTCTGCCCGCCTGTACTCTGCATTGTGCCCATATTCTTTAGCATGGCTTGTCTCCCCGCCTGCTGCAGGGGGGCTGCAACCTGGCATGAGCACGCAGCAAATCTATCTCCACCATCGGGAGCTCTGGAGAAGACGGATGGTGCTTAGACTCCACGCCCCCGGGCGGGTTCTCCAGCTCACACAAGAGCTCACTACCCCGGATTTCTAACACACCCCGACCTATGGGACTGGCTCTCTCAGTCGGCTTGAAAACAGTTGGATCATCTGACTGTTGTCTCGTGTCTTTGAGCATTTTTGGATTCCATTTGTTACCGGTGTTCTTAACTTTGTCTTGGACTGGCAGGTATCTCACCAAGTTGCATGGTGAGATTAATGTCCATCAGACATGTGCACCAGCAAAAAATTCCTTTAGTTTAGTTTCGTTTTGATTCAGATTTTCGTTTTTCGGATTCGGGTCCGCAATTGGATTCGGACGAAATCCGTTAGCGGTAGTCCGGTCGAAATTTCATTTATTGGACGAAATTCGTTAGCAGCAAAGTGACAAATAAAACAGTCTGCAGGAGATGAAAAAAAAAAAAAGGCGTGAGGTTCCCCCCAATTCATACCAGACCCTTTAGGTCTGGTAGGAATGTTAGGAGGGACCCTCCCCCAAGTTAAAACAAAAAAAAAGTGCGTGGGGTTCCCCCCAAAATCCACACCAGACCCTGTAGGTCTGGTAGGAATTTTAAGGGGGAACCCCAGCCCCAAAAAATGGGGGGGAAAAATGTGGGGTCCCCCTAACAGTCCTACCCGACCCTTGATCCGAGCACTGGCAGGGCAGGAAAGGGGGGGATGATTGTGCAGCCCCCCCTCCCTGCACCTTACCAGGCCACGTGCCCTCGGCATTGGGAGGGTGTCCCCGTGCCGATGGGGACAAGGGCCTCTTCCTCACAACCCTGACCCGGTGGTTGTGGGGGTCTGAGGGCAAGAGGGCTTATTTGCATTGGGGTACCCCTTTAAATAAGGGGGCACCCAGATGCCGCCCTCCCCCCTTGTGAATGAGTAAGGGGTACTTGCACCCCTACCCATTCACTAAAGGGTTAAATCAAATAATAAAAAGTCCAGACTTTTAGATAAAATCCTTTTAATTGAAAAAAACAAAACAAAGACTCAATTTTTGACTATCAAGTCATTTAGAAAAATTGCAACCAGCTCCGGACCTAGTGACTGGAAATGTGGGAGCAGCCTGGGATGCGGCTATAACTAGAATCAGATACCTGGGCTTTATATCTCTTCACAGAGCCCTGGTCACAGACTCATTATTCACTCGGCCACTAAGCCCAAGCACTGCATCACAGGAGGGGGGCACGTGTTTGGCCATACCTGGATGCAGCTGGTATTTTTTTGGGTGGCAGGGGAGTGAAGCAGAGGTGAGAGTACAAGTGGGTCCGGGGTCATTTTTCCCCGATCGGTCCTGATACTCATCCTCAACCCTAAGTTAGCCTGGCCTCTCCCCTCTTTTCCAGCTCTCCACACTGCCACTTACAGTCCATCCCATCCACTGATCCACACCCAGCCCTTCCAGCCTCCTGTGCCATCCCATGTAAACGTCCCATGGTTGCAATATGGATTTCTTTTGTGGGGCTTGATTGCTTGGGGGTGGCTGCATTTCCACCTACTGGGACCCCACAGAGGGCAGGACGCGGGGCCCTGGAGAAGTTGATTAGAACAAAACAGGAAGTATAAAATTACATTTCTATTATATCAGATGATACGTTAAAAATAAAACCCTCACATCCTCTACATGACTCTTCCATAACTCCTTGATGACCACGCATAACTCCTTGATGACCACACATAACCCCTTGATGACCACGCATAACTCCTTGATGACCTTGTATGAGACTCCTTGATGACCTTCCAGAACTTCTTGATGACCATGCATAACTCCTTGATGACCTTTTATAACTCCTTGATGACCTTATATGACTCCTTGAAGACCTTGTATGACTCCTTGATGACCTTGTATGACTCCTTGATTACCTTGTATGACTCCTTGATGACCTTCCATAACTCCTTGATGACCTTCCATAACTCCTTGATGACCACGCATAACTCCTTGATGACCACGCATAACTCCTTGATGACCACGCATAACTCCTTGATGACCACGCATAACTCCTTGATGACCACGCATAACTCCTTGATGACCATGTATAACTCCTTGATGACCATGTATAACTCCTTGATGACCTTGTATGACTCCTTGATGACCTTGTATGACTCCTTGATTACCTTGTATGACTCCTTAATGACCTTCTATAACTCCTTGATGACCTTGACGCATAACTCCTTGATGACCACGCATAACTCCTTGATGACCATGTATAACTCCTTGATGACCATGTATAACTCCTTGATGACCTTGTATGACTCCTTGATGACCTTGTATGACTCCTTGATTACCTTGTATGACTCCTTAATGACCTTCTATAACTCCTTGATGACCTTGTATGACACCTTGATGACCTTGTATAACTCCTTGATGACCTTGTATAACTCCTTGATGACCTTGTATGAGACTCCTTGATGACCTTCCAGAACTTCTTGATGACCATGCATAACTCCTTGATGACCTTTTATAACTCCTTGATGACCTTATATGACTCCTTGAAGACCTTGTATGACTCCTTGATGACCTTGTATGACTCCTTGATGACCTTGTATGTCTCCTTGATGACCTTGTATGTCTCCTTGATGACCTTGTATGACTCCTTGATGACCTTGTATGACTCCTTGATGACCTTGTACAACTCCTTGTGTTAGCTTTACAATGTGGAATAAGTAATGAGTAAAAGATGCCAAGATGTTTAGTTTCTTTTATGTCTTTACTGAGTGTATTAAAATAAAAACATCTTTTAAAACTGAATTGAAAAGAGCCATGCTCTGGTTTACTTCAACCATAAAGTGGAATTGTAGGCGATCCCCCACATGCTCCCTGTTCCTTTGAGTGCCCTGTCACACCATGTCCGGACCAGATCTGCACGTGTTTCTGCAAACGCGGTGCGGTATGTTAGTGACGCGTTCCAGTGCGTTTTTTTGTTTTTAGGGGGTAATGTCATTATGCAATTTAATCTCTTCCTGCTCCATGTCATAACTTCTGTTGTGTTGCGGTGAGGTGCGTTTGTGACGCGTTCAGGTGCGTTCCAGTGCAGGGAAAATGTGACATGCAGCATTTTTTTTTCCTGCGCTGGTATGGACTGGACTGGTGTGAACAGAGCCCAAAAATCAGATACAAATGCATCAGGATGCATTTTTGATGTGGAAGAAAATTGTAACGTGCCGTTCAATTCAGTGTGGGGACCTACAAGTCAATGTTTTGGTGGACGAGCACACCGAATATTCATTGGAAAATGGTATTTATTAGTCAAAAATATGATCCTCCGCCATTTTGCTCAGCACTGTGCAGCCGAAGCGTTCAGTGAAGCTTCTGTAGAACAGCTTACTCAGAGCTTGGCTAAGGAACTGAACGTGACACTACAAATCCCATCATGCTTCTTGTCTCTGGTAGTCCTGCAGTGCCCCATGGGAC